AGGCTGGCATGTGTACTTACTATTGGTTCTTTTTTTTTTTTTTTTAACTTTATTGAGATATAATTCATGTGCCATGCAATTCACCCATTTGAAGAGTGCAGTTCAGTGTTTTTTGGTATATTTGCAGGGTTGCGTAACCACCACCACAATCTAATTTTAGAACATTTTTGTCCCTCCTAAAAGAAGCTGTTGGTTCTTTTATAAGGAAAATGTTTTCACTTTTTAAGAGACACTTTTTTTCTTCTTTTAGTGGGAATGCAGGTCACCTTAGGCCTTTTGCAAAAATTATCCTATTTCTCAGAAAGCATTTGTTTTCATAAATAGTCATGAAATGTCTTTTAATGTTCCAAGCTTACCTACTTTCCTGGCTTTTGGACTCAACCTCATGAATTACGGTTTAGTTACTGGGTTCATATACCTACCGGTTGGGACCTCTTCAGCTTCAAGTTACAGATTCCACTCATTTAGCTTAAGTATTAAAAGGAATTCATTTGCTCTGTTAACCTGGAAGAAGCAGAAGCGTTGGCTTCAGGCACCAGGTGGGTTCAGGGATTCTTTCTCTATTTTTCAGGTCTTTTCTCTCCACCTTGGCCACACTGACCTCCGTTACAGCTGGGGGCACTAGACGTGGGAGTGGGCTGCGTGTCTGCGGCGGAGGTGGCAGAGGTGAGGCTGCAGATTGGGTATTGGGCCTCACCTCAGCTTGCCTATATTTTTGAGTAACTGGTTTCTTGCTTCTGGGGTTATAAACCCATTCATTCAAGCAGTGGGGCCAAAAGATCCATCTCAGTCATGCTGCAGTAACCAATGTTGCTGATTCAGATGGCTTGTTGGAGGATTTGAACCAGGCCCAGACTCTGGGTGTTACTTCCAAAAAGGTTCTCCCCAAGCCAGGCATTAACAACCTGAACTTCTTCTATTTCGGATCCGCCTGATCATGTAGTCTCTAGCTTAATCTCTTCTATAACTTTTCAGTGCCTGATCCAGTAAATTATTTTCCTCAGTAG